AAACTCCTCCAAAAAAGAAAAAAGAAAAAAAAAAACAGCACAAATAAATTAATGTTCACCTTATATCAAACTATAGGCTGACATACACTACTAGTCAGAAGTTTTTGAACAGTAAGATTTTTAATGTTTTTTAAAGAATTAACTCACCTAATTAAATTGCTCACCAAGCCTACATTTATTTGATCCAAAATACAGCAAAAACAGTAACATTTTGAAATATTTTTACTATTTAAAATAACTGTTTTCTATTTAAAAATATTTTAAAATGTGATGTATTCCTGTGATTTCAACACACACCTAAAGCCCCCCTAAAAATGGCCAAGCAGGAATACCAAAATAAACATAATTTGTATTTACCAAAACCATAACAGGAGAATACCTACAGTACCCACGCAATAAGGCCAACATATCTGGTGAACGAGACCTTACCAAGATCAATCGAAACACAGGAGTATACATGCTACAAACAAAGAAACCTAGATGAGAAACAGATGAACCAAATCAAACAATCCATCAGTAACCACTAAACTAATTAATACCGGGAACAGCAGAAACAGGAACCAAACACATGAGCTAAAGAAAACACAAACATTACATAATCATGACAGAAATGGAGCAGAGCTGTTTTAAATTCACTGTAAACCATGGCTTAACAGGGCTTATTGCTTTATTTGATGTTTCTGAGATCTGAGTTAGTTAGAAGCTGTACTTGCATGACTGGCATGAAAAAACTGTTTGGAGAAGGGCAGCAGCTGGGTGACTGACATCTTGTTTGAGTGGTAAAAATTAAAAACTCATTTTAACAACCATTTTGTGACCAAAACTTTTTTCCCTATTGTCACTAGATTTTGAATGCTTTTTTTACATTTAATTTATCTTAATTTTTAAATACTCTAATTACAAATTCTATAGCTGTGATGCATTAATTTCCATTGCCTCTACCAAAGAGAACATTTCTTTAGGAATTGAATGTTTAACATGATTAAATCTGAAAGCGTACTTGAATGTAAATGACTGAATCTAAAGCTAATATCTAATAGCCCTTGCATGCAGCATCATGTTTAACAAATGTCCTGAATCTTTGCTGCAGACAGCTGAAATGTGCACCATCAAATTCCATTGCAAAGTGTGGAGAATGATGTAGCTTAATTTAAACGAATAGTTCAACCCAAAAATGAAAATTTGCTGAAAATGTACGTATTTTGGCCAGAAGCAATGGTTTAAAGTTAAAATGGCTAATGATGGATTTGTTTTAAATCCATACAGCTTTTCACTTCACTTGGTGAGCAAGGAATGTTAATGTAATCTGTAATGTTAAATGCTGGTGTCCAGATGATATATACCATTCCATCCATGCATTCTTTTTTTAGCTAATGCTGCCTATACAATCCCTTCTTCAATAAACGATGAGTTTTTGTCATTGTCTTCTGCCTCTTTAAAAATGTAAGAATAGCAACAAATTGTTTGTGTATGAACCTTAAAATAAATAAATAATTAAAAAATAAAGCATTTAGTTGACCTGGGGCCTGTTTCATAAAACAAGTTTACCAAATAAGTCAGGCTTATTTCAGTTAGTCTGACTTATTTTGAACCAAATCAGCTTACAATAAGTCAGACTAACTGAAATAAACTTATTTGGTAAACTTGTTTTATGAAACAGGCCCCTGGAAGTAAAAATAAATAAATACAGAAAAAAGTAGTCAAGCTTTGATATAGTAGTTGACTGGGGGAAGGTAGTGGGGAAGGGACTCCTCTTTTTCAAACCAAATCAGATTAAACAGTGTTTCCCAACACTGCGTATAAGGTATAAGACATATCTCACACAAGGATAAGAACTCCGCTATTATGTCAATAGTTATGGTAAGTCTAACTTACAAAGCCCTGATGCAGATTTGATAAACCAGTTTGCAAGAATGCAAAATAGAGAGTGCCCGAGGCATCTTTGTGATTTGTGATTTTGTTGGTACTCATTTCTTTGATTGGTAACAGCCTTATAGTGCCATATTATTTTTATTGTTAAAATGTAAGTATTTGGCATGAAAGATGATGCATGCATACATTTAATAAGGATAAGTGAAAAAAAGCCCTTTAAAAGCAAAAAATACACTGGAAATCAATGTAAGGGCGCAATATTATGAATATGCCTATAAGTAAGAGCTCACAGAAGGCTGATTTATGTAGTCTATGTATGTAAAGCTTTTTCCCTTGATTTTTGTCAGAAGTTTCTGTCAGTAGAAATTATTAATTATGTTGTGAATTTATATAAAATAATTTCCTATTTACTTTATTCATCAAGAGCCACATAACCTTTCAAACTGGCTTTTGAAGTCACATAGTCAAAGGGAGATCAATGTAGTCTCAGTTGATTGTAGCATAAATACACCTTTGTCTCTATTTCCTCTGACATGTCCTAAAGGTCTTTCACTTTCTGACTAAATATTTGATTTAGGAACATTCTTACGAACTTACAAAGAACTTTACGGTTTTTCTCAAGAAGATTTGTTTGTGACTCTGGCCCCAGATCTCAATTAAATTGAGAATTTATGGGTGGAATTGGAAAAGGCTGTCCACTTATGATGTCCTTGTGCTTGAACAGTTCTGCAATGTTTACTTTAGCTGTCTACTTTAGAGAAAAAAAGTAGAACAAACTTTAAAAAGTGTGTGTGTGTGTGTGTGTGTGTGAGAGAGAGAGAGAGAGAGAGAGAGAGAGAGAGAGAGAGAGAGAGAGAGAGAGAGAGAGAGAGAGAGAGAGAGAGAGAGAGAGAGAGAGAGAGAGAGAGAGAGAGAGAGAGAGAGAGAGAGAGAGTACTATATTCACTACATTATGGGGACCAACTTAAAAAATTTACCCCCAAGGTCAAAATTTTATATATATATTGACCTTTGGGGACATTTTTGGAGTCTGCTTGAGGAAGCTTTAGATTATAAACAATAGATTATTTTATATTAATATTTTATATTTTTAGATTATAAACAATTTACAGTGTGCGCACTGCAAAGAAAAGAAAAGAAAAGAAAAGAAAAGAAAAGAAAAGAAAAGAAAATAAATATTAATTCTTAAACATTAAGTCTGTGTCGTTCCCTCAGTGAATGTGAATGCATAAAGAAACGAACGTCCACGATTAGCCTAATGCATTGAACAATACCAGTGAGCATCCGACCGGACACTGCATGTCCTCGGTGAAAGACATCGCGCACAGTAGCACTGGAGAGTCTACAAGAAATGGCGTGGGAAAACACACTGAGGGCGGGTGAATCTGGCTAGTCGTCTCTCTTTCGTTGTCTGCACTCATTAGATCTCGTCCCAGAGTTTTGAGAGCTGAAGTAGAGCGTGACTTTAGACAATAACATCCTGCGTAGGCAATAGCGAAACTGACAAAGATGAACGGAATGACAGAGAGAAAAAAACGCGGGTCCAGTCCTCTGGTGAGGAAACGGCAATGGATTCATGTTTTAATGTAGTGAATGTTCACGCGTGGACGTTTATTACTGTTTATTTGGTTTATTACAAGCGCATGCTGAACGGAGCAGGCGCGAGAGGTTGAATGCAGCCGCGCAGCGCGAACTGTCTACCGCTTCTGTAAGTATAGGCTACACACTACTCGTAAACAGATTTTTAGCTGTAGATTTTTTTTTTGTATGCCACAATACTGTATTCAGAAATGTATTTGCACTTTTTAAGATGATTCTATGTCATGTAGGCTTTTTAAATGAGAGACGTTAGCAGTTCTCTTTCACCATCTCGATGTTTCAGAGAACCGGGGTTACGACAGCAACCTATTGTTTTCGTTCGAATGTGTATTTGTACATTTGAGTTCCATATAGCCTACTTTCACATTGTCATTGTAATTCAATATTTGGGTAATCGATTTATGTAGCGTTTCAGTTAGGTTGAGGACCTGCAGTCTGTTTGAACAACTTTCTTCTTTATAGATTAAATCAGTTGAGCATGAAAATAACTGCATTTAAAAATAGGTATCCTACCACCATGGACATGTTCAAATGAACTGTCACATGCCACTTCTCGAAAATGTAGATTTAAATGATTAGACACATCAAAGAGAACATATTCAGCGGTATGCAGCCTTTGTCTTATTATACATACAGTAGGGCATTGTCTCAGTAGAGGGTAGAGGGCTTGTCTCTACATCTGTCCTAGACAGCACACTACCACCATTAGCCATTACATACTGACATTAATCACCCAGTTTATGTTTGCATCCTATTTGTGCTCTGCTTTTTATGGAAAAATTGCATTCTGCAAATCTGGCTGCTGAAAAGAACACCGACTGTATAGTGGATCTGTGGATACTGATTCAATATAGAATAAATCATTTTCAAACCATCTATCTGTAAATAAGACTGAAGAAATATCATAACTGGGAAATGTATTGCTTTGTTTATGAATCTTATGCAGGTTATATTTTATCGAGCCTTTTTGCAGAGATTAGAGTACAACCTGAATTTGGTGTCTAACACAAGAGTTGAGGATGACTGGCCAGATGCTGGCAGATTGTACTTGGCAAGAGTGCATATATAGGTTTAGTATTCTACCCTGGTTTTAGACAGACCATCGGATCAGTTGACTGGGTGCAGAAAAAGATAGAAGTAAAATTTGGAAAAAGAAGAACAAAACGTCAGACCATGCATCCATTATGACAATATAATAATCTCAATCAGCAACATTTTTTCCCTTTTTTACACCTCTTTATTAACTGTTTATTTGTTCCTCATGTGACAGCACTTGTTTTGTTTCTCTGCATACTACCCATCAAAATGTGCCCTTATTCTGTCTCCATTTGTTAATTTTTCTTTTGGCAAAGATCTGTCACACACAAACCTTCTGTTTGGATTGAAAAAGCTTTTCTTCTTGTTTTTTTTTTCTTGGCAGGTTTACTTAAGTGTGTTTAAAGGCTTTGCTGATTTAAAATTCTCCTCCTCAGTGGATTGCCTTTGCTGGCGTAGGCGTTTGTTTCTCTCAGTGGTATTGGGCACAGGCCAAGTATGAAGGACTAAGAGAGAGCAGGTGAAATTATTTATATCATATAATTTGTGATGGTGTACCGTAGTCTAATGGTTAAGGATCTCATCTTCAAAACAGAAAGCTTGCAGATTAAATCCCATGGTGTGACAGGAGAGGTACATGAGATTAATTCTTCTCCTTTACATTGTGCCGTTGAGCAAGGCACTCAACACCAGGTAGCTACTCGGGTACTTTTTCTAAAATAATTTGTATACTTGATGCAAAAGAGTTGAAATGAAACAACAAAGAATTTGCATATTTGTGGTGATGCCATTGCACTGGCTCTCCTCCTTGTAGTTTTTGCTAGCACAAAGCTGGAATTGTGCACCTGACTCCCACACTTTAAGCCTTACTAAGCATGAAAGTGTTTGTATCTGTTTGTAGCATGTGTGTGTAGGCAGCTTATCAAATGCTCTTGGGTGTCTAAATCTATGATTGCATGAAAGGGAGAACATTTTAATCGGAAGATGATATACAGGTGCATCTCAATAAATTAGAATGTCGTGGAAAAGTTCATTTATTTCAGTAATTCAACTCAAATTGTGAAACTCGTGTATTAAATAAATTCAATGCACACAGACTGAAGTAGTTTAAGTCTTTGATTCTAATTTATTGAGATGCACCTGTATATGAATGGAGACATTGTCTTGTTTAGTTCCCCTATACTGTAGCATATTTAACTATATCCTACCCACATTGATTCCTTAATCTTATTGTTCAAAAAGCTGAAACAAGTACAGGTGACAACACGTTTTGCATAAATTATATCTGAGCTAGTAGATATTTGCTCAGAGGCACAATGGTCATCTATAGGGTTTAAACATGCAATATGGTTACTAGTTCAGATCTCTCACACTAGGTTACACCACACCCATGCTGCTAGGAAGCTTAACTTTATTGCCACTTTCTCCTAGCTAGAAAATTTGACTGAATGAATTTTCTGCATGGCTAACTGTATAACTAGAATTTCAAACAATTTAGAAGAGTTATAAACTTGGATGTTGCCTTAGCATGTACAGCTACTTTATCTTGTTCAGAAGCTGAACCGTGGACTAAACCTGCAACACAAATCCATAAAAGAATTGCTTATCCAAAAATGACAATTAATAATTTATTTATCCTCATGTTGTTTTAAAGGGGTCATATGATGCTGCTAAAAATAACATTATTTTGTGTATTTGGTGTAATGAAATGTGTTTATGCCTGTATCACTTTCTTTATTGTGTAGAAGAAAAACGTGCTGGCCACTGTTTTGCGCGCAATTATAATGAACAGGGATTGAAGCTTTAAAGCTTAAAAAGGACATAAAAGCACCTTTGTTGTGTAAAACAATAGTAAATTTTATAGCGGTATTCATTCTTGTTAATGTTATTGATATTGTTTTACATGTAGTTTTTTTTTTTTACTTGAAGCCTGGGGGTGGGAATAATAATAAAAACTAAGCATAAAGACCCATCCCTAACCTCACCCCTCAACATAAATTTCACTGGGGCGTGAGCAGGCCATACACAACAAAAACAAAAATAAAACAAAACATACTAATGAGGATTTAATATGATTTAGCCTCGAATTTGCCATGATATTGTTTTTGTTTAATGCTCCTTTAAGCATAAATTAGTTATGAGTTGCTGTGATATTGTGTTGGTTAGTGCTCCTTTTGGTGAATCTGGTGTACTTATTTCAAAACCAATTTCTTGGGGCATTAAATACACTGTATCTCATTGACAGATAATTCTAACCTAACCAAACTTCCCTCAATACCATAATGGCAATCCATCATCTAAAATATTTTTGCCCCAAGCCCTGGTTAATTTCTGACCTTTGTGACAATAAAGATAACACACTATACATATATGCTAGCATATGACAGTTAGAATAATAGCATCAGTAAAACCCCTGTTTTCCTCTGTATCATTTAAAACCACTGTTATTACTCCTTTCAATAGTAAAAAGAGACTTTGACCCCAGGCAGGTATACCTAGCATATGGTATACGCAGGTATACGTAACCTTTCGCCCTTTTCTTATTTAACACTGTTAGATGAAACTTGTCTTTCTGGTCTAGGCGATTAGAGCTGTGTCTTTCTGTATCTTAGAAAGGTTTTGTTTACAAGCCACTGTTTAGCAATCATTATACAAAGAAATATGACAAAATAATCATTTTGAAAAATGAGCATGTCAAGATACTATAGAAGTATCATAAAGGTTATTCATGTCACTTCAGTGCTATATTTCACGATACATTGATGTTTAAACTGTTATTTTCTGAAAATATTGACATCCAGAATGTTTAGAAATCATCATTTGTGTTCCACATTAGAGTCCTACAGGTTTGGAACATGAGGGAGTAAATAAGGACAATTTATTTATTTATTTTTCCTGATTAAGCTATTCTTTTACATGTGTAATTATTTGAAAATAAAATGTTCAGTTTAACTATCAGATGCCCCTCAGAGATGCAATGTAGTCTTCCTAGTTGAGCTAGAACTTTCCTTTTTTTTTTTTTTTTTTTTAAGCTTTGAAGCTCTTTGACATTTCTGGCTAAATATGTTTCAGAACTCATTTAAATTTTAGTAAAATATTCTCTCATTTATTTTTCCCTATGGAAAGCTACATTTAACTTACTTTTTGGGAAGCCCAAATTGAGAATCTAAATTAAGTCTCTGAAAATAAAATTATAACATTCTTCAAAATATTATCATTGATAGTTGTCTGCGGCCTTAACTCTTCTCTGTGGTTTGTTGTTTTGTGTATAATGATGGTCAGGTCCCCTGCAGTGTGAAAGCAGACAGCAGTGTCTGGCAGTCAGTTCTAAGAAATAGCAGCAATTAAAAACTAGAACTGACCCAGAACTGCAGGCATCCCGTTCCTACTGCGAACCAGCACCTGCATACAGTACACACACTATGTGTACATAAATGTGGTAGTTGGAGATTGCAACTGTACTGACTGTAATTTGACCTTTGTTATTTATGCTGTTGTGAATTAGTGAGAGCTATTGTGCATGTTATCTCAGAGACATTACTGGGATGAGCAGAGGACAGGTTATTTATGCAAAATCTCTTGGTGCATCAAGGTCAATGAAAACTGATTTGTATACATGCTAGTACAGAGTATTAGTCTCTCTAAAACATCCACCGATGAAGTACTTAGAACATAAATATTCTTGAACAAAAAAAATAAAAGGTATTGACACTGGTATTCTGAGGATGCTTGGATGTCTCACTGTTATAAGGATGGCCAGTTTACTCTGCTCTGTGTATTGCAGTGTTCTTCTTTAACTCTGCTTTGAATAAACTGTGAACACGAGCAATTTGCCCACATACTGTAAAAGCAATTTTCAGCACATCAAATTGATTCCTTTATTGTGTGAAGCAGATTTCTCTGAGAATGAAAGGGGTGTGATTTGACAGAAAATCCATGTAAAGTATAGAGAGAAAAAAATCAATCAACTCTGGACTTTGACGAAATCCCACAAGATTTAAATCTGCAGACATTAAGACTCACAAGGAGCAAAAGGAAGTGGGTATATATACTTTTTAAATGATCCTTTATTTAAAATGGACTCTGCATCATTCGCAACAAGGCAGAGAGAGTCTCTTTGAAGCAGAATCAAGCAGAAGGTTCAAATAGGATGAAACTGCTGAACTGAACGTTAACAGTGAGAGAAGAGAATGAGTAGATATTTGAGAATCACTGATGAATTTATTTCATAATTCAAAATGAATGAAACATAATTGGTCAGTCTAAACTTTTAATATGGATGTTTCTTTAATTTTATCGTGGTCCCTTTAACCTGTTTTTACTGTAGATGTTAACTGTTTTTGTTGTCTCTGGATCTGTCATGCTCTCTCCTCTCTCTGAGCTTCTTTCTATAATCTATAGGGAGTATTAAATAGTCCCAATTATTTTTATCAGCATGCCCATATTTTTATTGTGGGAACAAAATATAATTAAATTAAAAGGTTGTGTTCTGATCCATGCTTCAAAACATACCTAGCCAGCATATGCTGTTTTTTTTTTTTTAGCAGGGCAGTGACTGTCAGAGTAGTGACACCTGATCACAAATATCTCTGGAGCTGAACATTCAGTAATATGAATTCAGTAATAGTTGTTTTATATGAAGTTATCAGTAACAAAATGGGTCAATGGCAATGTTCCTTCTAAGCCCAATTCACACACAGAAAAGTACATTTCTGCATTTTAATTACGGAAAGAACATTAGGCTCAAGAAAAATCCTTAATATTTTTCATTTAACATGGCTATCAAACGTTTTTATTGATTTATTTTAATGTTGTTCTACTGCATCTATCTTTGTGAGCACAAAAATTAAGCATTTGCTGTATTAATCTCTTAAAGGCATAATTAACTTCTGGAAAGATGGAGTTTTAATATAGGTTGGCTGTCTATGCAGTAGAAATGTGATTTCTTTTTTTTAAATGGTGCTACACAACTAGAGACAACAGAGCAAAAGAGAAGTGGTAAAAAAAAAAGAAGAGGTAGGAAAACTTCAACACCCATAGTGCACCGGGCTCGATCAGACAGCAGGGATACAGAAAAGTTACAGTATGACTAGTTTTCACAAAAGCCCTGCAGCTGTCAAAATTCTGCCAGAAGATGATGCATTTTGCTGGCAAATAAATGGGGATATCTTGGTGCAAGTAACACAGAAAAATAATACAAATTGTTCATTTACTTTTACCACTCACATTGTAACAATACAAAGCTGGTTGAAAATCAGTGTACTTAACCTTTAAATGTACAGTTCTTGACTGCTTAACTCAGTTCTGTGTCAAGAGATACTAGTGTCAGATTGGCTTTTCAAACCTGTGCAAAAACTGCTAGTTTTCGCACAACTTTCACACCCAAACAGTATGTGCTAGTTAGGTATGTTTTGAAGCATGGCAGCTGGTTTAAGCTGGTCCTGTGCTGGTTATGAACTGGTCCTAAGCAGGACCTAGTTGCTTAGGACCAGCACATGACCAGCTTAAACCAGCTCATCATGACCAACTAAGGACCAGCTTAAACCAGCTGACATGCTTCAAAACATACCTAGCCAGCATATGCTGTTTTTTTTTTTTTTAGCAGGGCAGTGACTGTCAGAGTAGTGACACCTGATCACAAATATCTCTGGAGCTGAACATTCAAATCACTCCAAATAAAAAGTAAAAAATGAAATGAACAAATATGTACAATTGCTGTACTAGGGTCTCTTGTAGGTTGCCAATTTTTACAGTGTACATATTAAGCGTCACCCATTTCTGTCTCCCTCCAGGGTGAGTGTTGTGGAACAGGGTGATGGGAGTCCAGAACTCTCTGTTGCCGGGCTTACGGCATGTCACAAAACAGTTGGCTCAACTTCTGCTGCTGGTCCTACTGCTCTGGATGCTGTTTTTCCTCGTTGTCTTTACCTACTTCACTGACTCCCAGGTGAACCAGCCCCATAAGATTACCACATTCAACTCTGAATCTGAACACTCAACCTATGTTCAGCATAGTTCCCGGGCCATCATGGCATCCCATAATTCCCACTGGCGTCTGTATGCAGACAGGAAGGGTCCTTTCCAGCACAGGCAAGTGTTTCAACCTCCTCGCGCTAGAGAAGAGTTTTATTTCAGGAATTTTGGCGAACGTCATCCAAGGGCTAGGAAGTACTTGAGGAAGCCTCCTAGAAGTGGCTACAGTGATGACTATTTTTCCAATGACTGGTCGGTGGTTCGTGGTCTGTGGAAGGGTCAGGTGTCCTCCAAAATGCTAAACCATCGACTCCAGCAAGCCTTGAAGGACCATGTTCACTCTAATAAGCACAATGTTCTCTACAAAGGCCAACGAAAGGCAAACAAGAGTGTAGAGGAGATGCTGTGTCAGATGAAACGGCAAGCCCAACTCAGGACCCTGGATGGCTCTGAACAGCCCTTTGCTCACCTAGGTTTTAAACAGCTGGCTTCTTCTAAATTGCAGAAGATGTACACAACATGTGCCGTGGTGACTTCAGCAGGGGCAATATTGAACTCATCACTGGGACGTGAAATTGGTGAGTTGGACAGGGATACTATGCATATATACACTAGTGGTCAAAAGTTTTGAATAAAATGTTTAAAAATTGTTTAAAGAAGTCTTATGCTCACGAAGGCTGCTTTTATTTGATTAAAAACAGTAATACTGTGAAATATTATTATAATATAAGCTAAATGTTTTCTATTGTAATATATTTTAAAATGTAACTTAGTAACTGTGATGACAAAGTTTTTAAGCAGCTATTTCTCCAGTCTTCAGTCTCACATGATCCTTCAGAAATCATTCTAATATGCTGATTTGGTGCTAAAGAAACATTTCTTACTGTTAGAACTTAAGCATAGTTGAAAACAATGAAAAGGTTTTTCATGTGTAATTTGTTTGTGGAAACTGTGATACACTACCATTCAAACATTTGTGTTAAGTAAGAAAAAAAAAATACTGCTATTCAGCAAAGATGCATTAAATTGATAAAAAATGATAGTATTGGTCATAAATTGATAATAACTGAGCACCAAATCAGCAAATTAGACTGATTCCTGAAGGATCATGTCATTCTACCTGACCCACATCGATTTATTGATCCATTTTTGCAATAATTAACATAATAAAGACAGCAATTCTTATTTTATTTTTCATTACATATGATATTACAATCATGGAATGTATTTATTAAATATATTATTTAAAGTTAAAATATTTCTTTAGTTTTTAGAAGTTGAATTTAAAATCTTAGCTCAAAAAATCTGTCCATAATGTGTCCAATTACACAAAATTGTTTGTGTAAAATTGTGTTTGTCTCAGACTTTTTAGTATCCAAGCAGGCACTTTCTTATCTTGTTTTGAGGGTTGCTCTCTCTTTCTCACTCTCTTGCTTTGACTTTAATTCCCTCATTCCATTTCTTCCACTCAATTCATCACCACTCTTTTTTTCCCTCGTTAGACCTTGATTTGGTCTGCTTTTGAATAGAGACATTGATGCACAAGGCCTAATTGTTGAATGTGTTGGAACATGAATACCACATCTGAGAGCCAATGGCAGATAAGCATTAGAGCAGTTCTCCCTGTTCTCTAGAAGCCCTTGAATAGCATTGCCCTGCTTCATTGTCAGAAAGAACGAAAGCAATGTTGCTGGAAGCCACACTGTGTCTTTGCATGTTTTTTGTTTATTTATGAGAGTCTTAAAGGACCTTTTATTAGAAAAGTTTTGGAAACTGGACATTGAAACTTATGTCTTACAATTACAGCAGTAGTTTTTGTAGTGAACTCAAAGTATTGTACATGTATTTATTAAAAAGTCCTATTTCTTTATTGAAATGTTTATTTGAATATACTCATTTTTATTACTCACAAATGAAGCAAAGTTTGGAAAGTGAGTCTAGATAAAATGGTTACTGTTCCTATAACTTAGTGAATTGTCTTTTGCTACCTTCTAGTGGTGATTGAATGTTTTGCATGTAAAAAGACATTGATGGAAGAAGATCATCATAATGCACTGTGGAGAGATTCTTTGATTATTCAGGTCAAAGAATAAGGAATTACTTAGTTTACTATAGGGATATATCAGAGGTAAAAATCTAATATACCTTCACATTAACCTCCTGTCCATTAGGAGTTTATTATGGTAGCATTTGCCTTACAACACTAGAGGGAGCAATATCTTATAATATTAGCTTGGCCATAACACTTTTTGCAGACTGATTAATTTAATGAAGTTCTTTTTAAATAATAATAATACTTTCCAAATCAATATAAAAAACAACAATAACTGAATACCTATGGTTTTGTGTAAAATGTCTAATGACAGAAGTGCCTGTTTTCTGTGTGTATTTAATGTTGGTGTTAAACAACTGCACTGAAAAAAAAGGTGTATGATACACTTTTACAATGCTCACTCAGAAATTACTTGAACTTTCACTATAAATACAAACAAAAGACAAGTAACACGTTGAACTGAACATGAAAATGTAATGTAGACAGACTGAAGTAGTATTTATTTATTTATTTTGTTTTATTTATAAGCTCAAGCATTTTTTACAGTTGTAGTTCAAAAACCTCTTAATAGAATAATGTTTGCGAAAATTATTAATATCATTGTTCAATACATTAAAGGGCACCTATTATGCCCCTTTTTACAAGATGTATTATAAATCTCAGGTGTCCCCAGAATGTGTTTGTGAAGTTTCAGCTCAAAATACCCCACAGATCATTTATTATATCATTTTGAAAATGCCTATTTTGAGTGGAAGCAGAAACAGGCTGTTTTAGTCCATTTCTCTTTAAATGCAAATGAGCTGCTGCTCCCCGCCCTCTTTCCAAGAACAGGGCTGTGCAATTTTAGCTCCTATCTCAGATCTCTGCCAAAAAACATCTGTTTGGTTTTGATTACCATGTATATCGCGCTGAAATCACACGTTTTAAAGCCATATCAGTTTAAATGTCTGATATACGTTTTTCTGGACGCACACACGCGAACAGAGAGTGGCTGTGACGCATGTGTGTACTAAAAGTTCTCTTTCACACACAAGTTTATGTTAAAAACACGCTTAAAACCACAGTTGCTTATATCTGTGAAGTTAAACAGCTGGGAAAGAAATCGAATGTCTATATTAGATCGGTGTATTAAGTGACAGCAGCATAATATACAGTACCTATACTGACCGCTGTTTGGGTCTACGCTGTTAATATGACCCAAACAATAAAATAAACGCAGAAAATTCACACACAAGTTTATGTTAAAAACACGCTTAAACACACAGTTGCTTATATCTGTGAAGTTAAACAGCTGGGAAATAAATCGAATGTCTATATTAGATCGGTGTATTAAGTGACAGCAGCATAATATACAGTATATACCCAGGTGAAAAAGACGTAGTATTAAATGTATTAAAAATATACTTGAAATTCAAGTAGTATGTTTATAATACATTTGTATTCCCAACATGCTTATTTGAAGGGTAATAAAAATATATTGAATTGCATTTTAATATATTTCTAAAAAGTATACTAGAAGTACTTTTGTATTCAATATATGCTTAGTTATACTTCTAAGAAATATGCTAAACAGAAGCATACTTTTAATGTATTTATAAAAAGTATACTAGAAATACATTGGTAATAAATATATGCTTAGTTACACTTTTAAGGAATATGCTAAACACAAGCACACTATTAGTATACAGTATTTCTAACAAGTATAGTAGAAATATTGTTAATAAATATATTTTTAGTTACACTTTTAAGGAATATGCTAAACACAAGCATACTTTTAGTGACTTTTTAGTGTATTTACAGAAAACATACGTATGTTACCCTTACTTAAAGTATATTTTATGTCTACTTTGTGTAAGAACAACCGCTGTTTGGGCCTACGCTGTTAATATGACCCAAAAACAATAAAATAAAAGCAGAAAATTACTCTCTGCTCTGGATTGAACAACTTCTATAGCTCTAATAAGAAGACATTTCTTACTTGAATGCTGCTTTTAAATGCTCTTGCGTGAAGATAAACATGGCAGATAGTGTGTGTGCGGCTCACTCAGGGTAGGGTCATGGCTAATACGGCTGTGTCAGTCAACTATCGTGGGTGGGGCGGGTCACACTTTACGGATTTTGTGATCAGTAAGCTCTGAGACACTGCTCATGATTTATAGAGATTAAAAAAAGGAGCGGGTGGATTTTTATCATTATAGGGTGGTTGTGTGCACACACTGCCAACACACATTTATTTTCAAACAGCATGTAAAAGTGAATTTTGCATAATAGCTACCCTTTAAGTCCAGAGTCAAATATATAATGGAGGTAGATTTCTCAGAATCAGGACAAGGTATTTTTCATAAAAGTCAGGGCAAGGTTATTACACAACAAATTAAGCTGTTTTTTTTTTTTAATTCGGGCAAGTTGATGTGTAAATTCATGTCTTTGAATTTTTTTAATTACATTTTTTTTTACCTAAAAAAGCATACTCTTCTGTATAATCAGAGTTTAACTATGACAACGTAAAAGAATATTCAAGCATGTTGTCACAAAAGGTCAACGTGTGTTCTCCCTTTAAAACTTGACCGGTCTTTTGATTGACTGCTGTTTTTGCCATTCTAGATTCCCATGATGCAGTGCTGCGTTTCAATGCTGCACCCTACAAGGGCTACGAAAAGGACGTGGGCAGCAAGACAACCATTCGAATCATGAACTCTCAGGTTAGAGTCATTTGCATTAATGCACCCAGACACAAACCTTCACTCTGTGACTCATTCCCTGTCTCCGTGTGCAAGGACTAAATAGAGATGTTTTCTTCTCTTTTATTAGATTCTAGCAAACCCCAAACACAACTTCAGCAGCAATTTGCTTTATAAGGACATCACCTTGGTAGCCTGGGATCCTGCTCCTTATAACATTGACCTGCATAAGGTATCACATCATAGACAATCTGTCAGAAGTCTCATACCATTCAGCCCTGTTAAACTTTGCTTGTGCAGCTTTCTTTTGGGGGGCTTAATCTAAGACCTGTCTGTGAAACCAGGCCTAAGTGTCAGGACTTTATATTCAATCTAATATTTTCCTGTTTTCTCAATGCCCACAGTGGTACCAGCAACCCGATTATGACCTGTTTACTCCATACATAAATCACAGGAAGAATTTCCCTGAGCAGCCCTTTTATATCCTGCATCCTTCATTTATCTGGAAACTCTGGGATATTGTGCAAAGCAACACAATGGAGAACATTCAACCCAACCCTCCTTCCTCAGGATTTATAGGTGAGCCTCTTCATCGTTAACACAAGCACATATAGACGCACAATTTGGCCACTTTTTGATCCTTGCGCCCAGGAAAATTGTTGTGCCACATGTTGTGACAGTCATTTCTGAGAGATTTGCCATGCTGTGCAGCTGACGCACATATTCGACCCTAATTTAAGCAAGATCAAATGTTCTTCTGCCTACTTTTCCAGGGTATCTGCTTTGTATTCACTGTTCCTCTTGAATAAATTTTTAACTGAAGAGCATAGGATGTGTGTGCGTGTGTGTGTGTGTGTGCAAATTCTGAAATGTGTCACTAGGTAATAGCAATTTGATAGGTGCTAGTTCGGGGGCATGACAGGATTATTTAAATCAGGAAGGCAAACTCTCTGTAACATCTCTAGAGGATACTTACTTACCTTGCCGCAGGCCAGTAAATGACTGGCTAACTGAGGGCCTATAGCAGCATAGAGCCAATGAATGTGTGTGCAAATACACACATGCACACTCTTTCTCATCTCCTTTGCCTTGTGAGTGCATTGCTGAATTTGAATGAAAATGAAGGTTTGGCTTAAAACTCAAGATCTAAAAGAGACAAACAAGTAACTGAACAAATGTTGCAGACTTTTATTTATTTTTTTGTACGACTGACATATAATCCGAAGGTCTGTGTGAATCAAGTTGATGGTTCTCAAACAGACAATCAAATTTCCTAAACCTATCAAACATCATATGTGCTATCAAAGGCGCAATCCAGTATCTGCTACTAAGAGAGCACTACTTTTTTTGTCATTCATTGTTTTGAGTGAGTGATTGTGGATTGTACCTTTAACACACCATTTTGGCTTTGACCTAAAGGAACTGTTCTACCAAACTATCATCATTTATTCCACCCTCATGTTGTTCCAAAACCATGACTTACTTGCTTCTTTGGATAAGAAAATGAGATAGGATGCTTCACAATAGAGTGCTACAGTGATGACGTATTTTTGTGGGCCAACATTTATTATTTTATTATTAATAAAAGAGTAGAAAACGAGTAGGATCTGTCCATTTGCTTTTGGATTATTGCAAAAAATAAACTCAACAAAAGTTTGTTTCTTACATGGTTTTTTTCATCATGATAATCTTCACAAATGAACACAACTACAGTATTATGAATTTTGAAGCCTAAACGCAATTGCCAGAAGTAAAAAGTTAAACGTAGAACAAGAACAAACTACATCACAGTTGAATGATTTCAACGTCACCACCATTAAGCTTCGAACAATTCCTTCAGTCTTCATGTAGTAAAAAATTCTGTTTGCAAGTGAGTCATTATAAACACGATGAGGCTGTTAAAGCAAATCTTTGGTGTGATAGGGTTTAATGTCCCTGACAACCTCTGTAGTCCCTTTTATTCACTTCTTAGCAACCACCTTTTTCAAAAAAGAGCTGATGTACAAACTGATGTATCATACATCCTTCCTAGTTCAGTCCATCTAAAGGCTTCTATGCTAGACTGATCCTTATCATTAAATACTGATTAAATACTATTAAAAATACATTTGGAAAATTGTTTTATATTAAACATAAATTATATGTTCTTTATCATTATATGATGTTATCGGTGATCATAGGAGGACACAAAGGATACACTTGATGTATCCTTCGAAACACGCTGCATGATGGACATGAAACAAAAGCTGCCTTCCAAGGATCCTTCAAATTGAGATGGCCTTCAAAGGCGCTTGAAGATGTGGCAGCCACAATATGCAGCTTTACTAGGACTTAGCCTTCTGATTGAGAAGCCTCCAATGAACATTTGTTTTGGTGAATTCAATACAGTGACAGTACATCGCCACCTACTAGACTGGAGTGTGATATTCTGGATGGTGCACAGGAAAACAATGGTGTCTGCCATGATATTACTGTACAGTTGCTTAAAGGCACAATATGTAATTTTCGCCGCTGGAGGGCGCGTATTCAAAATAAACAAATAGACAAAGGCGTAGTTTGATGACGCCGTGACTTAGTGTGGAATCATGGGAGTTGTCGTCTTCATCCCCACAGCCGATGCAATCCGACGGGACTCGGGCAGAAATCATGTTCATGGATGAGCTAATGATTTATTAACGTAGTAGAATGAAGCAGGGTGAGGCTGAAAGCCGTCGAAGCGAAACGAGGCCGCTGAACGAGCGTGACACACGGCTCGAAAGCAGCAGAGCTTTTTATTATGCCACAGTCGACCGCTTCCGCTCCTTCCGGTCGTGCATAATTGGGGGGAAAAAAGCAGCGCTGTTTTATCATACTAGATACATTTGAAAGTTCTGTTATAATGCTACTCTGTGCGGTCGTCACCGGTCTATTAAAACACACAACATATTAAAGCGTCTTTGGTGTTTCCATGTTTTCTACAAAACAAAACCGGAAATCGAGGGGTTATGACGTCATTGGCAGGCGACACAATGACACTATAGACACGGTCTGTGTCACTAGTTAAAATTGCTTATTTCTCTGGATTTAAACATTCTTCAAAACATTTGGGATAATGTAAGTACACAAGTCAGCAAAATATATAACACTGTTCTAGTGGTTTTTGGATATTTTAATAAAAAAATCTTACATATTGTGCCTTTAAGTGTTTTACACCAAAACATGGAAATTATTTATACTTTTTAATACTGCCATTGTACTGAATTCACCCAACCAGATAGGACACTTAAATTAGTTAAGAGTTTGGAATGACATGAGGGTGAGTAATTGACAGAATTTCCAAGTTTGGAAATACTGTCTTAGATCACTGGACTCATTTGAAGCAATGATGTGACTAATATTCCAAATGTCACCATGCTTGATCTCCAGCAGATAATGGTGAGATTAGGGGAAGGGTAGAAAAAGAGTACAAAGCAGTCATGTGTTGGGGATTTTACCAGATTTCCAGCTTCCTTAAAATTCACAGATTTATTCAACCTCTTATTCAGACCTGGCCTTAAATGTGTTGGGAACATACAGACAACATGGGGGTAAGCACATTCAGAAGTACTGCACAGCACATGATCTAAACATCCATTTGAACAAATCACCAGTGGCTGTTTGCACTTTTCTCGCTCTTTGTAACATTTATATTGACAAGTCACATACAAATGCTTGGTGTGTGTTAGGTCAGACAACAGTTTGTCATCACAAAGACGACTATAGAGATCACTTTGCTATAGTTCTGTTTTTCAACTTTTGATTGGTAGGCACTCGACGACACTACACAGATGATTTCTGTCTTGGCATCATTTGGGACAATAGGTAGGTTTAGAATGGGGCTGGAACATCAAGGTGTGATTTTGTGTGGATTGGTCTAGCCTGAGACAGGGGTGCTGCACTCATTTTGGAGACCAATGGATGGAGGTGCATTGCCAGCCACTGTGTTGCTATAAGCCCTTCGGTTGAGCTGGATGCCTGTAGTTCTTGAAGGCATAGAGGACTGTCCATTCTCTAGAGAGCTGCGTTTGCAATGAAACAGGATGAGGAAACACCTGTAAAACTGCAAAAACACAATAAATTAGCACTCGTACACAAAAGATGCAAAGCCATTTAATTTTTGTACATTTGTGTGAAAGATTGCCTAGCTTATTTTGAATTGCAAAACCGTGCAAAAAAGTGCATTTTGTATTCTTCTTTTGGAGTTATTATTTTTCTGTTTTTTTTGGCCAATTGAAGTGGCAGTATCTCAATGACATGTAAGATAAATATAGTAAAAATCTAGTTTAAACACGTGCCAAGTTTTTAGCAATGTACTTTTCATATTAATTTTAGTTTCATATGGTTTTTAAAAACTTAATTTTAAAAAGAAATGTTTTAATTTAATTACTCATAAAATGTGGTGTAACCATCAATTAATTTCTTTACACTTAATAAATGTAAGTGTACACATCTTTATTATTTTCATAAAATAATTTTAAATATAGTTTTACATGGATTATTAATTTATTAATTTATATTTTGGATTATTAATTCATAAATATTAATTATTAATTCGTTTTTTGGAGTCACACCACGATTCCTGATTTTACAACCTGAACTAACCTTCTTTCATCATAAAAGGTCAAATTATCTGAAAATTGAAGAGACTTATTAACCTTGACCAGCAGTCTTGAGGGTCTGCATGTGTCTTCTCTATGATATAATTTCCTATTTTATTTTATTTTATTTTTCTGTGTTGGTTGTAGCAAATTTTAATTATGCCAAACTGGTTAAAGATTAACTTAAAAATTAATTCTAATCCAGAAAGGAGAAACATTCAAGTTATTATATTTATGAAGTGCATTTCCTTTTATGTATTTTTTGAATAATTAATACATAGGACAAAAATTGGAGTCATGTCATTGACCCAGCAATTATCAACTGAAATGTTTTGATTGACTTGTTTCTTCATTCTGATGAGATGTCAGATGCTAGGTCACTTGTCAAGAAGCGAGGTGCAGAAATAGCTGTTTACATTCAAACCTATGTGTGTGTCATGTGATCATCTTTTCACAGCTTCTGTAGTATGTCTAAGGATGCCAATTAAATTCAATCCAGTCCACACAAAAGTCCCTGTGGCATGTCCTGAACTACAGTGAACAACATGTGATGCACACCCTGCTGGTTCTCAAATTATAGCTGCTGGGTTGATGTTAATCAATACACTTGGATCACTTTGTTGCCTTGACAACCTATAGATGTGGACACTGAACAAACAAACTGTCTTAGGTGATTGGCTATCCCAAGGGTATGAGACTCGATGTCTGATTGGCTTTGTCTTGGCCCATCCAGGCCTCTGATTGGCCTTCACATTGGCGTGCGACTATACTGCCGAGTATTTGATGCGTGTGTCCCCTGCATGTGTGCGTGTATGCATTGAGACGATTCTGTGTCTGATCTTGGCAGGGTGCTGTCAGGCTGTGTGTGTTGCTAGCCTGTGGGCAGATGATAGAGTCTTGATGTAAAACAAAAATACAACAATTCAGAGAGGTGGCCAACAATAGACCACAGCACACACAGCTGACAGAATGTGTGCTGTGTACTAATGTCTTATCAGATTCAAACAAAATCTTTGAGGAGTTTGTTTCATTTACTCACCATCATGTCATTCCAGATCTGTATGTGAATGTACTGGTTCATTTTTTCATTTTTTTTTTTTTCACTCACTTACAATGAATGGTTTTTCAAGTCTTATAAATGTATATGTTATGTATGTATACACTACCAGATAAAAGTTTGCCATTATTCATATTTTTATTTCTATTATGCCTACCAAGGCTGCATTTATTTGATTAAAAATACAGTAAAATGATAATATTGTGAAATGTTATTAAAATGTAAAATAACCTTTTCTATTTAAATATATTTGTAATTTCTCAAATGTAATTTATTCCTGTGAAGGAAGTCTTCACATAAGCAGTCAAATTTACTGATTTGGTGCTCAGTTATTATCAGTTATGATTGGTGCCCTAGTTTTAATAATGGTTCTTTGTATTATCAATTTTGAAAATAGCCTTTGCTGCTTAATATTAATAAATGCGATACATTTTCCCTGGATCCTTTGATAAATAAAAAAGTAAAAAAAAAACAGTATTTATTTGAAATAGAAATCTCTTGTAACATTGCAAAAGTCTTTACTGATACTTTTGATCAATTTAATGTGTCCATGCTGACTAAAAGTATTATTTTCCCCTTACCCAAGACCTTTAAACGGTAGTTGTATGTCAAGTTTCCACAAAAATATTAAACAGCAAAAACTGTTTCAACCATAATAAGAAATGTTTCTTAAGCAACACATATTAGAATGATTTCTAAAGCATCACGTTAGACTGAAGACTGGAATAAAGGCTGATGAAAATTCAGTTTTGCAGCACACAAATAAATTACATTTTAAAATTATAGTCAAATTGAAAACAGTTATTTAAAATTGTATTAATATTTCACATTACAGGTGCATCTCAATAAATTAGAATGTCGTGGAAAAGTTCATTTATTTCAGTAATTCAACTCAAATTGTGAAACTCGTGTATTAAATAAATTCAATGCACACAGACTGAAGTAGTATAAGTCTTTGGTTCTTTTAATTGTGATGATTTTGGCTCACATTTAACAAAAACCCACCAATTCACTATCTCAACAAATTAGAATATGGTGACATGCCAATCAGCTAATCAACTCAAAACACCTGCAAAGGTTTCCTGAGCCTTCAAAATGGTCTCTCAGTTTGGTTCACTAGGCTACACAATCATGGGGAAGACTGCTGATCTGACAGTTGTCCAGAAGACAATCATTGACAAATACACACACATACAGTATATATTTTGAAAATATTTACATGTATTTACATGTTTATGTTTATATTAATAAAATTAAAATGTAATATATAAACATAACATGTTTATATATTAATTAATTATATTATGTTTATATTCATAAAATTAACATTAAATATATAAAAATAACATATTTTTCTGAAATATATACATGCATGTCTGTATATTTATATAGACATAATAAATATAAACAGCATACATACATATATTATGTAAATAAAAACTTTCATTTTGGATGCGATTAATCGCGATTAATCGTTTGACAGCACTAATTTTTAGCAAATAAATACAGCCTTGGTGAGTATAAGATATTTTTTTCAAAAACAATATCATAATCATTCCAAAATTTTGACTGATAGTGTACAGTACAATAGATTGTGTGAGGAACAAACTGAAATGTAAGTTGTTATTCGCTGATAATCTGATGAGATGCTAACAGCTTCTTGTGAGCAATTAAGTTTTTTAATCAAGTGTTTTCTCACTTGATGAATTCATGAATGAATCATTCAGACTGGGTTCACTGAAAAGTTCCAACTCAAAAGAACGATTCATTCACAAATCGGGCTACTTGTCTCATAACCTCTCATAAAATCTATGGCTGACAATAACAGTTTTGATAAATATTTCAATAGCGACTTTGGATCGGTTCCTCACACAAGACCATTGATTGACTTCAAAACACTTGTAATAGAGGCTGATCTCATGTGGGCTGCTCAGTACAGTCATTATTAATGAATATATCATCTATATCTGTGTGTGTGTGTTTATTTGACAGGTATAGTCATGATGATGAACTTTTGTGAGGAGGTCCATGTGTACGAGTACATTCCTTCTATGAGACAAAGTAATCTGTGCCATTACCATGAGAAGTATTACGATGCGGCCTGCACATTTGGGGCATACCACCCTCTGCTTTACGAGAAACTGCTTATCAAGCGAATGAGCACAGCTTCTGAGAAGGACCTCAAGAAAAAGGGAAAGGTCACACTGCCAGGATTCAGTAAGATCAACTGTCCGCTGTGATTTACAGACTCAAACGTACCGCAGCGTAAAAAGATGTATGGGATGTATGGGAAAAAAAGTAGGAAGAGAGGGTTTAATAACAAGTTTTTCATTTCCAAAATGTTGGGATTTTGTAGTCACTGTCATTTAAAGCTGCTCACATTTTGTATATAAAAAGGACAATTACCTTTTTAAAAAATGTTTAAATGTGGTAAGCTACAGTATGAAATGAGCTGAGATGGAAAGAGATTTCTCTTTTCTGTCTATCTGTGGCGATGTGGTCATTTTAAATAAATCTTTTGCAGTTTTCATTGGTTAGATGAAAATTCAAAGCTGTTAATATACCATAGAGTCAATATCATTAGATTTTAACTGTAGAGAAATGATCAGTGTAATTTTTAAAGGTGTTTTATACATGATTTATTTCATAATATGAATGTGAACTACTACTGACAAACCTCTGAGATAAGACAGTGTCTAACTTAGAAAAGTTTAACACTGACCTATGGGCATATAATTTCTATTAACCTTTTTATATTTTTTGTGCTTTAGTAAAATGTTTAGTAAATGTATTTCAAAAACTTGTATTATATTTTGACACAAAATGGTGTCTCAAGCTGTACCCATACTTAACTGCTGTTATTGTTTAAAGAACTCACATTTTGAATGGAGTTTAGTATTTTTGATCTTTTCTTACAATCAGTTTTGTACTTGACATTGTTCTTTCTATAGGCTGGTCATTTGTTTCATCATAGTGGATGTTGGGTTAAGACAATGAAATCAAAAGAAATGTTAACTTTTATGCACCCATGGTGGTTCAGTGTATACGAGAAGAAATCAAATCCCATGATTTAGTGCTCATTAAAAAGTTTGAAAAGTCTAACCTGTTTGTTCATTAGGATGTAAATCACAGGGTTGATGACTGTGCTGCTTTTGGCAAGGAGGGACGGCACCACGCTCGCAATGGGGGTGATGATTCCCGGATGTCCAAACGTGGCCATCATTGCAACAACCCCATAAGGCATCCAGCACAAAAGGTAGCACACCACTGTAGTGATGACCATAAATAAAATGTGGTACTCTCTCCGCCGTGCTGCTGTCTTTCTAATACGCCCTACCTGAAGAGAAAAACATGTACATTCATTTGTATTTTTTGTTTGCACCAAGCAGATGATTCAGAACTGGTCTTCAGTATACACAAATCCCTCATGAAAGGATTTCTGATTCTCTATAGAAAGAACCTACCATCTGGTTTATAGGAACCACTGACTCATCAGGTTCAGAAATATAATTTATTGATATTTATAAAGATGTCCTAAAATCATGTGTGAAGTGATAAACTGCATTCTAAATATAATGCACCGCTTTTAACAAATTTCATATAGTGTCTTCTTTATTATGTATTATGTATGTAGAATCTAAAAACAGAATTGACTATTTAAATGTTCAGAAACTGCTATTTTTCATGAGGTCACATCATCCTTTTTTGTGACCTATTTCGAACAAGTACATAATAGTGCTGACTTATCTAATTTTTCTGCATAGTATAGAGTGTGGATTCCAGATATCACCGGCTTAAACATCATTTGAGGCAGTTTAAACTTTATCTGGAGTCTGAGATATTGACCTAGTTTGAGCTTGAGTCAGAGAGTCATTGTTTAGTTCCAGAGAGGATTGGAAACTGCACTGCAGGCAGTGGTTTTGAGTTGTGAAATCTGACTTGTTTAAACTCCTTTCCCTGTTATACACACATAATTAAAGTGTAACATTTACTTTGAATTGAGATGTTGTGACTCAATATACCTGTTTGACAGCACAGAGGAGTCGGCTGTAACAATACACCATGACCAGCACTGGGATTCCCAAACAGAAAATGAACAGACAGATTATATAGGAATGTGACTGCGGGGTGTTGGCCGTCCATGTAACCGAACAGCTGGTTCCTGCCCCTTCCAGTCCATAGGTACTCCAGCCCAGCAAGGGGGGAAACGTCCAGAACAGTGAGTACAGCCAGGAGCCCCCGACAGCCAACAAGGGTTTGCTATAGTCTGGGGCCCTCTTGTTGTAAACAGTTAAAGTGCTGTAACGATCATACGAAAGGATTGCCAGAGAGATCAATGATACAATCCCTGTTTAAAAAAAAAGAAGAAATTAGTGTATTTTCACACTCGCCATTAAACTACAGAGCCACTTGTATCAACAACATTATGTCACAATTGTTATGTAAATGAACAGGAAAAAAATGCAAATGAACCAGGGAGATTTCCTTAAGCTCCATGAGTAAGTTCTATGTTTATAAACTCCAGGGTAAAGTGTCCAGAGAACATTTATAATACCATGTTTGATTTTTTAATGTTTGCTTTTGTACTGTTATTATTGGTCTTAATTTAGCTCTTTGGTATTTTTAACATATATGTCAACAGATTTTGCATACACAAAGCCAGCTACACTAAATGGGAGTTAAATGGGAGGTTATTCGAGCAAAGGAATTATTATTTAGCACTTATTTTTCATTGTGTTATATAAAATACTGTGATATATGATTATATGCAAGCAATAACAATTATTATTATAATAACATTTATTCATTCAGATATTTTCAAACATTTCAATGCTAAAGACCCCCAAATACAATGACACACTATTGAGGGACTACAATATAAAGGCACCTATAGTGTTCACAATAAATGTTATTCCAAAACTATTTTTAAAGTTTTAGAGAAAATATTCAAAAGTTTAAAAAAATCCCCTACAAATTACAGTGATGAGGAGAAACTTCCTAGAAAGATACAAAAAAAGACTAGATTTCAAAATTTGACAGTGCTAGAAAGGAAAGATGAATGTTTATAAGTAATATTTTTTATAAACATTTATGCCCTTTTTCCTTAATGCTTGTCTTTATTTCTTAATGTTAAAAAACTAGAAAGTCAAATGAAACTGGGATGTCGATATAATAAATGCTACATTTATTTATATATTCATTCATTCATTCCAAAGTGAAAACTCATTCCACATCAATTAACTCTTGGCTTGACCTTTGAAAGGATAATAATAAATGTTAGTAAACCAGCACAAATCTGACAATATAAGTGATTTAGTTTAAATTTCTGTCTAAATTTATTTCCATACATTCATTGCCTGACAAAAACATAAATTGTCAATTTGAGGGAATAACTACAGGGAATAAAAATACAATCTGCCTTACTATTCAAATTGATTAGTGAATAGTTAGTAAATAGAAACACAAGTACTTAATGTCAAAGCAATGTTATGATTTTCAAAACAAAACTTATAAATGACTCCCAGGTACATAGCTATTTCAAGAAACACAGCATGAAGTGGGAGACCTACTACAACCACTTTTTTGCTATTACATATTAATGAAAATGCCTTTAAGCGAGACTCATTCTCTGATGTTGTTCAAAGGGCAAATGTGGGAATTTTAAGACTGGTTGATGAAACATCTATTTTAAACATTTGCACGCCAAAACAGATTCGTCTCCAACATTCAGATATGAAAATTCATTATGGACATTAAGTCACCAGAATATGAAGGACACATAGACTGTTGCTTTTTTTTCTCCCCTTAAGTATGCAAAGGCCTGTGTTAATAAAGATCTTTGTAAATCTGCTAATCTTTGAGTCTGTTGACGGAATCTTAGGCTGTCGCATTTCTCACTGTGTATGCAAGAAACGGCATACAAGAGTAGAGCCGAACATATTTGCACTGCAATAGCACACAGAAGGGGATTACAGGGTAATTTTCATATCTTGAGTGTGTTGTTTAGTAGAGTCAGACACTGCAGCTTACCTTCTGCTTGGCTCTGGCGTAGAACTTATGGCCAACCAATGAGACACTTTTAATAAAAGTCTATGCAGTAGAAACATTTTAAAAATGTTTTTGCTGTGGCAAAAAAGGTAAGAAAACTTGAACGATTTTGCTGGAAAATGAACAGGGATATCTTGGTGCAGGTAACATGGAAAAGTAATACCCATTGTTAACTTACTTTCAACATACCTTTTAAATACTTGCAGTATTTGTATATATTGCAGTATATACTTGATACTTATTGTGGGGAAGTACTATTCCAGGTAATGAATTTTTATGTAATTATTTGTGTGCTATTGCTTTTTACTACAGTTCAATAAACAAGGTATCTATGTTTACTCTGTCAATAAAAATAGTTCCAAACCAAGTCAAAGCAGAATCAACCATTGCGTGTCTCCAGACCACACAGTTGTTTTTAATTCATGAATGAATCAGTGTTTTTTGAGGGGTTAGTGAATGATTCAATGACTTGCTGATAAAGACTTAACACTTGTTGTCAACTACTGGTGTAATTTAGTCACTGATAAATCCCCACCACTAATATACAGATTGACAACTTACTGTATGGAACATCTAAACTTTAAAAAGCAGAATGATACAAACAGTGAAAAGTCCTAGTCCTACTGAACTAAATATCAACACTTTTGGAGTACTGCTCAGCCAATCAGATTAGGAAGGAAATTAATGTTGTATATAACATTACGTTACAAATGTTTGTAAACTCCAGGGTAAAGCCTCCCAGAGAAATACACGAGAAAATGTATAATATGTGTTTATTTTCTTAATGTTTATATTCTCACTACTATTATTGGCCTTTCTTTAGCCCTTTGGGATTTTCAACATACTTACATACAGCACACACAAAGCCAGCTACAAGATGATGATAGCATCAGATTCAACAGATACACTATGTTGTGTGTATGGAACAGCTACTTCAGCATTTGCATATCAGTTGTAGGGGTTATAAACTAAGAAGCTGTTGAAGCTCTGCAAAATAAGTGGGATTGGATAACGTTGTACAGAGGACCTCATCTGACCACCAATATGTCCCCTTAAAAAAGGTGCTTAATAGTGAATAAAGGCTTATCTTGTCTACCTGTTCGTGTAATTTTAAATAATATCTCCTTCACAAGGAACAAGATTTAGTTAACTAAAAAGAGGCTCTAAAATGTCTTCTTGATTAGGTCATGCTCATTACAGCAGCACCTAGGGGGCTTTTTTATTTTCAGTCTAAAAAATGTTGTTGATGTTAGTCTGATTTAGATAACTTTTGAAACCATAGGCATATTTCTGAAACAATGGAAAATATAAAAGATCTCTAGCTACAAATGCACAAACATCTTGATTTACTATCCAATTAGTTTTGGTTTTGCCGTAGAGAGCAATGTCTATCTGAAATCTTATAAAGTAATTCCACAGCGATCCTCTGATTTTACAGAACTGAGATGAAGATTAAACATTTTTCTCATCGCTCCAAGCCATGCATGTGTTTGGTGTAGACCCCCTCAACCAGACTTATTTTTTCATTAACACTTTCTCAGATTAATTGAACTTGGAGAAACATCTAACATGAGACATACAAAGCACTTGGGGTGCTCAGATGGGTCTTCAGCTGCTATAGGCATCCACTTCTAAATTCGACATTCTACATTCAAAGATGCTCTTCTGCACAGTAGTGTGTGGCTATTTCAGTTACTGTTGCTTTCCTGTCAGAATTCTCATCTAATCCCTCTTATTAACAAGGCTTTTTTTTGCCACAGAGATGCTGATACCACAGCTTTTGTTTCTTTATTGTTTTTCACACCATTCTTGAAAACCAGTGGCATGATTGATTGGCTGAGAGTGCAGAGAAATAGTATCTCTTTCTGCAGGTTATACTGATGCACCACTAGGTTATTAGCATTTTATTTAGCATTAGCATTTTACTTTTATTAAAGTTACTGTGCTTATTTATTTTGCAAAGAATTGCTGTATATTACTGAAATATGCGATTTTATGTTCAACAGGTTCAGAGTTCCTCCATCTTAGTTACCTTTATATTTACTATATATTCCCTAAATGTACACTTTTAAGTTATATGAATCATTAGAATTTATTTTTTTTAAATTGTCTGCTATCCTTTATATTTAATCTGCAATGATTTGTGAACTTAACACAGTATAAAGACCCAGAAAGGAAAACTGCAGGTTTGACATGTATTAAGTATACATCATTTATGCAAAATCACCAGCAGAGCTCTGTGCATGAACGCTCCCCAACTGTAGGATTTTCAGTGATGTGCTGTTGCTTCGTCCCTCACCATGGCACAAAGCATTGTAGCGTAGCATGAATGAAATGGGGAATAATGAATGGGGAATGTGGAGGTCATGATGTTAACTGTGATGGGATAAATGATGGTTTACAATGAGTGCTCAAAAGTATTCAGTTCACTATCACAAAAAAACTACATAGTTTATCTATTAAATTATGTGAGTACCTGGTAATAAGGTGTTTTACCACCATTTGGCTGTAATACAGCTTTCAACCTTCTTATAATAGATTCACACAACTTTTGAATTTCTCCAGTGGAATGAACATCAGAACATCTGCCAATGCTTCAGATATGCTGAAGGAGGGAATCTGACTCTCACTCTTCTTTCTGAAACTGTCAATAGTGGTTTGATAATATTGAAGTCAGATGATTGAGCTGGCCAGGTTGAAGTTCATTTCTGTGCTCCATCTGTCCAGGTTTTATGATCATGACCCCATTTTTTTGTGCATTTTAGCATAGTTGTCTGTGAGTGAAGTTTTAACAATTGCAGTTTCATAGAAGTTGGCTTTGTGAAGTTCTCTGTGGTTGGTTTTTGTGGAGTCTTCAGTTTGCAGCAGTGGTTCTGAGTTGTTTGAACACAGTCCTTCTACTTTAAGAGTTTGAGGGTCCCTATCATTCACCCATTTTCACCCAATAGTTTTATTTGCTGATGAAGTCTTGCCAAGCTTTGTGTTCATAGTCATAATTTTAAAGACTGTTGTTCTTAAAACAACAAAAAAAAAAAAAAAAAAAAAAAAAAAAAAAAAAAAAGCTAAATGTATAAATACTACTGTATAATAGTATTTAAATAAAATAACACTGAAATATGTACAGGTGAAATTCACTTTTTTTCATTAAACCTTTATTTTATTTTACTAGGTTAGTCCCTTGAATTTACAGAGATGACAAAATTTCAGTTTGAAATGTTTTTGACTTCTAAAGGTAATAGAAATTGAATAGAAATATAATAGTTTATATAATAAATATAAAAGAAATATTATATTTCCAGG